AACCGACTAAAAAAGACTACATCCCCCCAAAAGGGTAAAATGGCACTACTGGGGGACCTAGGTTGGCATCGCTTCAAAGCCAACAAAAACGGGGCGCCCTTTGCAAAAGACACCCATATGCAGCTCCTATAGGACAAATAGGAAGGGCACGACGATTGCTCCCCTGTCAGTCTAGTCTCCCTTTAGCCTCCCCCCACCCCGGAAGGAAGAAGAAGAGAGAAAGCACACGCACATAGGCGCATAGACCCCGGTTCCTGCCGGCATTTTTTCGAGGATGGGACATGGACTTTAAGCCCCACCACGGAAGAGGTGAGCACTCCACTTCAGGATGCAGCTTTATTTTTCCGCCCTGCCGTTCAAGCACCTCGAAAAGCGACCACCCAAGGAGAAGAGCAAAGGACAATTCCGGTCATACCAGGCCAAAGGGCAAAATCGGTGTTCAGTCATGGCTTTGAGCTGCTGTCTGATTCCCCTTCCCCTTTGAGGTGATATGACCCTGACCCCGCGGCCCATGACGCATCCGAGACAAGGTTCGCGATCCAAAGCTAATTAATCCTTACACATAGTTGAACAAAGTGGAAGAAGGCGCCTGGTCAAAAAGGTGGGAAGCCTTCCAACCTTTTATAGTTATATTTATAGCCATCATAGCACAAATATGAGCAGCAAGCTTTGCCATATCTCACGAAATAAGTTTTAGGATTTGGATCAGCGGGGTTTAGATCAGTGAGGTTTGTTAGATAGGCAACAAACGATTCACTACCTGCTGGTCTTGTTTTGCACTTAGATTGTTTATTTATTTTGCGACATGTATGAAGCAAGTAATACAATATTGTCAGCGATGCCCAGTATCATTACACAGGCTACCCAAGAGCTAGCAGTCCTTTGGGTGTTTTCTTGTGCATGTAGGGCATGTTGTGTGCTGCGCACACCTTTTTCTGCACAGTCACATGGAAAAAGATAATCAGCCAGCATGCCCTTCACACTGACAGGCCTGGCAGCAGGGCTTCATTGTGTGGGCAAAACAAAAAGACCAACAATATGCAACACCCACCCGCCCGGCCGACATAGGCCCGCACAAGACGCCCAACGCCGAAACTAATGTTCGTGTTCCAAGCCTTTTCCAAGCCAGAAAAGAGAACTGCAAAAGGCACACATTTTTGATCACAGCTTCACCCCTGGCTGTGGTCAGTCAGTCAAGTGAAACTTGCAAAACCTTCAAATTATTGAAAGAAAACATCAGACACAGCCTTAGCAAAGGCAGGCGTGTATGCGCCGCGGTCCTCTAGCTGCTGGGGGCGGCCGGTGAATTGCCCACCCGCCCCCCGTACAAGGCTTGCACCGATGCAAGGAAGCGCACTCTGCGCTGGTGGACCACAACTGCAAAGGTTTGCAAGAAGGCCCACTGAATGCCCCCAAGAATGTCACTGTGCGCGAGGCTTTGATCCAGGAGAACATGTGCCTCATCGCCGGAAGGCTCGGCAAGCAACTATTCAGCGGCTGTTCAATGACAGGGCGGCATAGGGTGATCCATGCCATGAAAAACAACAAGGCACTGAGGCTGCACATGCTGTTACCTCAAGCAAATGACGCACCATGTGCCTGAAAACTTGCACTGCTCCGAGCCAGCCGCCGGGCACCCCCCGCGCCGACAACGCCGCCAAAGCCCGCGAGCAAGATACTCCGGGCCAAGGAGAAAAAGAAAGCATCTTCCCTTTGTGACCACAGGCGCTTGCCATCTCATGCGCAGGGCATTTCTGACCAACTACTACAATCTGCTCGGCTTGCCAGCGCGCCACTCGGGCCTGCGGATGATGCCAGAATCCGGTCAGAGACACTGAGTGACTTTGTGGCAGCCAGCCACCATGTTCAAACTGCCATGTTGCTTGTTACTTAGTGGCAACCAAGTCACTGAACAGCTCCCTCTGGAAAATCTTCCATCTCTGACAGGCGCCTGGTCAGACCTGCAAGCCTTAGCATGTTGTGTGCATATGTGTGCGTGTGCAATGTGACTACACCATATTTCATTATATCTTATTTCTCCAAAACGGGTTTATCTTTTCAGCGCAAAAGACCATGTCTGCTACTAGGGCTGTCTGGGACTGGCACATGTCAAGCAACTGTCAAGCGTGTCATATTCCCCACAGTGTCACAGTACTGAGGCTGCCACTTATCAAGCTTTGCCACAAAGCTCCCACTGCACTCAATCTGGGCCTTCACAGCAAGGGCTCCATGTAGAGCACTGAATCTTCCACAGCATCCCCACCAGCCCCGCCCAGCACTGCAACCACCATCTGCAGTCACATCAAAAGCCCCAGCAAACACCGGACAAACACCAGCATGCAGCGGCAAGGGAGGCATGACTCCACAGCAAACTCAAATGACAACTGGTCAAGAGCCAAGCAGCTGCATCACTATGTGATCAAGGGTGCCAGCCACAAGTCAATTGCCATTTAGCCCAAGCTTGCAAACCAATCCAAACAACATGCCAGAGATGCACCTGTACCGGCATCAGATCTTGTTGACAGCCAAGTCAAGCGAAGTGGCACTTGGAATTGAGCCAGTGAAGCGCGCAGGACATGTTGCACAAAAGTGTGTTGTGGAGCATGTGAGCATATCAAGATGTACGTGGCAAGTACAACTATAGCTTACATCAAAGAGACAACAGGATGAGCAAGAGTCGCCGGGGGAGACATGTGTGATACTTTGAAGATAGCTCGACATATCACAACAACTACCTTTTCTGGATTTGACAAGTGCAAAGTAAAGTACATTAAAGTATGTTTTCTTGACCGTGCATGCCACCACATGTGTGCAATGAAAGTAAGTTGACTTCCACTGGTTTCCACTTAATACAATTGAGTTCCACTTATTTTCATTATTTTCAAATTGTTTCAACTTTTCCCACCTTATTTCCATTTATATTAACTTCTGTCCATTTATTTCAAAAAATCCACATATTTCCAGTAATATCCACATATCTTCACATATCTTCACATATCTTCACATATCTCCACATATCTTCACATAGTTCCACTTAGTTCCACTTATTTCAACTTATTTCACTTAAAAAAATGTTCTCACTTACTTCCATTGGAATATTTGGGCAAAAACCTCACTGATCTAAACCCTCACTGATCTGACCCCTATATCGGAAGTTCCGAATATCAATAAATATTAACAAAACTGATCTTAGACTTGCCTTCCTTGATTTTGGAAAGAGGGCGAAAGCAAGTCCACAACGTCTAGCGCAGAGGTGTCCTCTACAGACTTTTGACTTCTTGGTCTTGAGGCGAATCCATGGCCCAAGGTCCCCAAAAGATGAGGTTGGAGATCCCTAGAGTAACCGTAAGATGTCTTGCCACAAGGAGAGCGCGTGGTCAGTGAGAGCTGAACTCTCAAAGCAAGGGAGGGCCTCTCGGGCGTCACTGCCTCGTCCAGATCGGGCGGCACTCATAAAAAACCAGGGCAGTGTCCCAGGCGTGGTGTTTGACCCCAAAGATTTGGGCCGTGTTGCAACAGAAAGTTCAGGCACCCTTCCGAAAGGAGGCCGAAAACTATTGAATTTCGGTTTGTTCCCAAGAGCAGGTCATTAGAAAAGGCCATGGGAGTAGAAAAACAAAAAATCGGGCACAGGGTAAAAACCGCAGCTTGCTTCAACGGACTCCTCTCGTCCAAGTCGCTCAGGATTGCCCCAGGCCACTTCGCACACCTTCGGATCGGGGCCCGTGAGTCACAAAGACCTTGTGAACACACAGCTCCTCACTACTGTGGATAGACGAAATCCGATTCGCACCACTTGAAAGCAATGAGAAATCATTGTTTGTTTCTCGGGTTTCTTAGATGGTGCGAAATGGATTTCGTTCATCCACAGTACGGCCCATGAGTCACAAAAGGGGTTCATTCAGGTTTCTAGTGGCGAGTTCATGCAAAAGGCCTCATGGCAATTTGAGACGCGAGCCCATTTGAGTCATCCCCTTAAGCAAATGAGGGTGGACATGTTTCCTTGCTCACATCGTATCTTGTGCATCAATTGTGCCTCTCTGTGCCCTCCATTCCTGTCCACCCTTCCTTCTGGACATCCGACGCCGGACTCGCAACATTAGACGCGCTACAGGCAACGCAAGGCATTGACAATTGACACGTTAAATTACCAAAAACTGGGCATATGCAAAATCTTCTCCAAAGTCAAGACGTGTGACAAGCATGGGGATCAGTCAACATGATTTGTTGCTGGTTAGGCTCCTTCTGAAGCCTCAACACTCTACCCTCTGGATTCCTGTCAAAGAAAGCATTTCCTGGGCCTCAGACAGATTCAGACAGTATGGGCATAATTGTCTTGCGCCAGCAATAGCACATACTCTGATAGCCATACTTCTAACACGCAAACTCAGAAAAACCAGAGGATCCCTCATGAGATGGCCCGTGGATCGCTCGTCGTTGTGCGGCTTACCTCAACCTGCGATACCTCGCAAGCAAAATTTCTTTGGTCTGCAGGTCGTGTTCTTAGGTCAGCATGTCTTGCAGTGCATTCCGCTTCTCAAGTGGTCCACCTGAGTCATAATCATACCCCCGGTATGCAATCAGTCTACCCATGCTTCAAGACTTCAGGCGGAAAAAAATGGCGCCGGTTTTTGCCGGCGATTTTTGTCCCTTAACCTTCACTTCCCCGGGTTTCGAGGACGTGGCTCGCGCTCTGTGAGTTCCTGGCCTTCTGGCTGCTGACCTTCCAATCCTTGAAGCCTTCCAATCTTCTGAAGACCTCCAGGGCATCCTCGTGGCCTGGGCCGCGCCACGGTTCCCGGAAGCCGGGCGTTTTTTCCAAGGGCCAAGGGAGGAAGAAACGAGGGAAGAAGGAGGAGAGAGGAAGAAAGTAAAACAAAGCAAAGCAACAAAACACGAAGAAAGAGACACACACACACACACAGAAACAAACACACTTCAACTCCCAAGGGAGGGTGCTAATCCTTCGAGTACAACCGATGAGTCTCGAGTGGGTTAAGTTTCGGCTCGCGATGCACTCGGTTTCCCTCTAGTGACGAAAACGTTACAAGATTCAACATGAAGCACACACAGCGAGAGAAACAACGGGGCCAACAGGACTTTGTATCATCGGCAGGTACACAGCTGGACGTCTCCAACTGCCTCACCAGGGTCACGAGAGTGTCTTCGTTGGTGGCAGACTCTCGGCCCTGCTGCCACCCCCTGCGGTAATAGTGAAAGCCTAATGGTGGTGGCAGGGTATTCTGCCACTCCGCACACACACGCACACACAGACAGACAGACAGACAGACAGACACAGACAGACAGACACAGACACAGACACAGACACAGACACAGACACAGACACAGACACAGACACAGACACAGACACAGACACAGACACAGACAGAGACAGAGACAGAGACAGAGACATAGACAGACAGACAGCCAGACAGTCAGTCAGTCAGTCAATCAATCAATCAATCAATCAATCAATCAATCAATCAATCAATCAATCAATCAATCAAATCAACCAATCAAATCAACCAGTCAATCAAATCAGTCCATCAAACAAACAAACAATCAATCAATCAATCAATCAATCAACTAATGAATCAATCAATTAATTAATCAATCAATCAATCAATCAATCAATCAATCAATCAATCAATCAATCAATCAATCAATCAATCAACCAGTCAATCAATCAATCAATCAATCAATCAATCAATCAATCAATCAATCAATCAATCAATAAATCAAATCAAATCAAATCAAATCAAATCAAATCAACCAACCAATCAATCAAATCTTAAAAGAAAAGCAAAGCAAGCAAGCAAGCAAGCAAACAAACAAACAAACAAACAAACAAACATACATACAAATAAACACGCTAACACACACACAGACACACGCACACACAACGCCACAAACCAACGAGACACAGACACAGAAGACAAAGAAACAAATAAACCCAAGAACAAACACAAACAAACACAGAAACAAAAACCCAATGACAGCACAAGGATACATCAAGAACCCCAAAAAACATCTAAACCTTCCAGCCCAACAGATTGGGGCTGATTCTGGGGTTCTGCAAAACCGCTTGCCTTTCGAATGGGATAGCCGTGGCTCAAAAAATGGAATCCCCATGGCGCCTTGGCTTTATTGAAACCAAAGGTCCCAAACCTGCGGTTTGCCCTGACTCTTTTTATTGAGCCACACCCCGTATCATGAAAGCTGATGTTTCATCAGTTGGACCGCGCTTCCTTTAGTATATGTATCTACTAATTAAGCAGACGAATATGGCTGTGGGTTAAAAATAGGTACCCAAACTGGAGCCCTGCTAAATGGACACATGGACCAAAACCTGCGGTCCAATTCCTGGTGGTTGAATTTTGACCCATACCCATCTACGAACCGTGGATCTATCCGGCCATGTTGCGCCATGTATCTACTCTAGGCCCTCCAGTAGAGAGGTTAGAATAAGGGTACCCTGTCTTTCTGTATTCTATTTTAGTAGGGGAACCCTCCCAACCAAAAAGGTTGGTAAACGGGCACTACTGGGGGACCTAGTACACATCTACGAGCCGTGGATCTATCTCTGCCGCGCGGCCCACCATGTTCACGAAGGCGTAGCCGAGGCCGGTGGAGTTCTTGAAGTCGATGGGCAGGTAGACGAAGTCGAAGCGAGCCTTGAAGCCCTGGAGGTTCAAGAACTCCACCACCTCGCGGATTTCGGGAGGGGGGGGTGGTCGGGGGGGGGGGTGGTCAGGGAGGGGGGGGGAGGGGTGGTCAGGGAGGGGAGGGTCCGCCTCTATTTGATTCACCACGACATGGACCGCCGGTTTTCGTCATTTCCATAGATTAACCCATTTTGGGGCTTCCCTATTTGTGACCAACACCTGACGCGATCATGGCTCAGCCATGGCTAGGCGCGACGGTCTGTCGGTTTTTGGGGCTTGGTATTCATTTGCAAGGCCTGGAGTCAGTTGTATGGACAAACACAAAGATCAAAGACCGCTTTGGTCACTTGCCGGTTGCCTAGCTGGAACAATCGAAATATCATCCATCAAACAGGCAAACAGCTCATGACTCATGACTGAATCAGTGAGCTGGCCAAATAGTTTGCAGCTGGGCTTCACTTTATATTCACTTGGGCTCATTTGCAACAAGAACACCGGAACAATTCCAAGCTTTGGCATCGTTTACAGGACTGCTTCTTGTTTCCTGCGTGGAGGAGGTTTTCATGGCATACATCCGCGAAAATTGCCACTTTTGGCGGGTGTTTCCCATCAGGCTGAGAACCGCGAAGGGTTCAAACAATTTGGGCAGGCAGGTCGAATGATGACCACCATGCTGTTGAAGACTAGGAATGTGCCCTTGGAAACGTGGGTGTGTCATTTGTTTCACTTTGTGGACACCCCCAACATGATAATTGTCCTGTTGCTTTCCCTTTAAAAACCCACACGAATTTAAAAGGGGTACCCTCAAAACAAGACACACCCAGATCTTGTCTGCTCGCATTTAATCAGTTGGCAACCTCCGTGATTCTAATCATTCAGCGCGCCAATGCATTTATCTGTATGTCACAAAAGATCCTGAACCAAGCCCGTTGCTTGAGATGGCTAAAACCAACAAGTCTAAGAAGCTGCATCAGGCGCCCAGTGGAAACGAGGTCATTGTCTCGGCTCTACGAGAAGGCAAACCGACGGCACAAAGAGTAACACCATCCCGCTCATAGGTGGCCTTCTGGAAAAATCGATGGCCCTGGTAAATGGGATAAACCCCATCCTGGTCGACCAGGGCCCTCTATTTTCTTGAGCAGACCGACCAAAAAGGACACTTCTGATCCCGCTCCAAAGAAAAAAGCCTCAACTCCAAGCGGCATCATCTCTGCCATAGTCGTTGGGCAGGTTGCGGATCATGACCGTCACCCACTCCGATTCACTGACGGCTAGATCAGGGAGAGTCCGAGCGAATGGACGTCCCCCGGCCAAACATGTGGTCTTCGGTGGATCAGCGGAAAAACGGATGGAACGTGGTGCTCGGCAAAGTAGACCACAGCCGTTTTGTCATGCACATCCAGTTGTCCGTTTGAAGGGGTCCATTATCTTGTTGTTTAGTCACCCAGCTTGCAACCAACCCGCCTGGATGCAGCCCACAAAAGGGAAAACGTGAACAGCCACAAAGGCAGACAAAGGCTGGCAGCAGTAAAGCAGTAAAGCTGTTCCTCACAACCACACTACCCCTTCCCCTGCCACGCGCCACGAAACAAACACTCCTGGCTCAGCCTATTTCAAGTCTTCCCCAAGGCCAAGGATGCTGTTGCAGGGTCAAAACGAAACAAGTCGCTTGCCAGGATGTCTCTGGCATGAAGATTGTGGATATCTGTTTTGCCTTGTGACTTGTAGGGACTTGTTCGGCTTTCTCCACGTATTTCTCAAGCTCACCTCTTCTTCATAAAAGGGATAATGGAGCTCCAAATGGGCCTTCGAGGGTCATGGCCTGTGCCCCAGCGACACACAGACACTGAGACACAGAGACAAACAGAGACACGCACAGACACACAAACAACTTCATGTTCAAGGGGTTGAGATAGACCAACCTGCCACATGCCCAGGTTCTGCATCTCAAATTCGCTTGGTCCATAAAAGTGACATCCTGCAAAAAAATACGACCTTCACTCAAGATCACGTGCAGAAAACGCCCAGCTCGTGCAAACCAAGGGGCTTCTTCACTGGAGCGAGCTCGGTCCTGAAGGTTCGGTGTGACCCTAAAGGCCAACATATCCTACCCGAAAGTCAAAAACGTTTGGTGCGGCGTCTGGTGCTCTTGGATTTCTTTCGAGCTCCTCCCGATATCAGTGCCAAAAACAAACCATACTGCACATCTTGACTGAACCTCATAAAGAACATGACAAATAACGTGAAAACATTGTATGGCCAGCCTGGTGGGTACTTTGAGTCATCCCATGTCCTTCCCAATTCAGAGGAAGAATGCAGTCCGTGACTCATGTAAATCTGATCCGTCGGGTGTATGCGGCACGTGCACAGGCATGCATGGGTTGTACATGGTTTGGAGCTGTCCAGGGTACGCCTGCGATGCAACAAGAGTCCTTGAAGGTGGCAAGAAGGAAATATCTCAATGGATCGTGATGTTTCTGGGGTTTGGAGGGAGGGAGGGTGTTGTTGATGTAGTTTCGAAGCTGTTGATTTAAGGTATTTTCGTCTCTCAAGGTGGTCTTGCGCTGGACAGAGTTGAGACGTATCCCAAGAGGCAAACTCGATCCAAAGGTTTAGGATGACTTCGCAGGGATCCATGCCAAACATGGGGCACACTCCTTGTGGTAATTCCAGCAAACCAACAATGGATTGGCAACTAGGCCAAAATAAAACCCATCTAAACCAGCACCCATTGATTTCTATCCATGTTTTTCTCCACTCACACGGATTCCACCCGAGAGGGCCCTTTTTTGTAGATAGTCAGATAGTCTTTGACCCCTCTGTCAGGTCCAGTGAGGCCCTTGGGATTCCTGTCCAATAGTAACTTGCACAAAGGGGAGCACAAATTTTCAAATTGTAGCAGCCAAGTGGGGATTTCAACCACTAAGCCACAATAAGCAACAATGTAAAATGTTTCCCAACAACAACCATGCATAAATCTGGCAACCGAATTTCGATCACAGGACTCACGGCGTCCTTAGGTCGGTTTCTCATCTTCGGGGAGCAGATGGGAGAAAATGTGTTGATTCCATGGAAGGCTCGCTTCCTGAGTAGATGACCCAACAAAAATCCAAAAACTTTCTCTTTTCCACTAAAATAGTCCAAACCCAAGACGTGCCCCAAGTCCGAAGCGGAACTCAGGAAGTGAGAAGGGGGTTTAACGCATCCTTCTACTCAAAACCGGAAAATCCTTGGTGAGTCGGCCACATCTCCCGAAGGTTCAATACCCAGAATACATTTGGAGCTAGGAGTACCAACAGGACGCCAACCAGCAAAAATGGCCCCCCAGCTTCCATGGTTGGAAACAATCATATCACAATAGCATCATAAAACACACATTGTACTATCCTACTATGAAGGTATATTATACCTATACAAATATATACATACATATACATACGCTATGATTTTTTTTAGGGGTCTGTAACGCGCGACGCGGCACGAATCTTGTTACGGAGGTCTGTAACGGAGGTCCTTGTTACGCAGGTCGGTAACGGGAAAAATCCTGACAAGCAGAATCAGGAGCGCATCAATGCAAGCCAAGCTGCGGCAAAAAACAGGGTCGCTCGCTCGCCAGGGCTGGCGTTGCATCTGTAACGAGGTGTGTGACGGCTATGTAACCAGGTCTGTAACGAGGCAAAGCAAAGCGCAGTACGCAAAGGCGCCTCCGCAGCACCAGCTATTCAACGCAAGCCAAGCTGCGGCAAAAAGGGGGGGCGCTGGCCCGGGCTGGGGTTGGGTCTGTAACAAGGTATGTAACGACTATGTAACGAGGTCTGTAACAAGGCAAAGCAAAGCGCAGCACGCAAAGCGCGCCTCCGCAGCTCTATTCAACGCAAGCAAAGCTGCAGCAAAAAGCAGGGTTGCTGGCCCGGGCTGGGGTTGGGTCTGTAACGAGGTATGTGACGGCTATGTAACGAGGTCTGTAACGAGGCAAAGCAAAGCACAGTACGCAAAGCGCCTCCGCAGCTCCAGCTTGATTGCAGCTATTCAACACAAGCCAGGCTGCGGCAAAAAGAGGGCAGTCATGTCACTGGCCCGGTTTGTTCATCTGAGGTGTGGAACGAGGGTGTGTAACGAGGGTGTGCCACGAGGGGTGTGTAACGAGGGGTGTGTAACGAGCCAGCTGGTCTTGTTACAGAGGTCTGTAACGAGGTCTGTAACGAATGTCCGCCGCGGCTCTGTTACAGACCCCTCAAAAAAATTCCCTGCCATATATATATATATGCATACACATGGGTGTGTGCTACAATAGGGCCGCCGAAACGTCGGCTTCCAAACAAAGTGCCTATATATATATCTCATATACATAATGTATATGTATACGGCACTGCCAGTATCCCTTCCCAGCATCCCTTCCCAGCTTCCCACCCCATCCCAGTCTTTTCATTCGTCTTCGCCTCAGCTTCTGTCCTGTGGGACACGGAACTGCCTCTTCCCTCTCGACATGGAAGTGTGCAGGCTCACTTTTTGAAGACTACGTGGGTGTTCGGCCAAGTTAGCAAGTCCTTGGCCACTTGGGGCTTCTCACCCCATAACAAGGTTAAACCCACTCTCATGCAGGGACCACGCGGGTTGTCACCGAACGGTTACCGTTACAACTCACTAGATCAACACTCTTGCAACGGAAATACAACCAAAAAGAAACGGGTTGGAACTTGGACGTTCAACCCTATGTCAAATACTGGATGAGCTACTGTCGATCCTGAAGTTGCCTACTTAGTGGGTTGAACAAGTAGGGCGTTTGACGTGTTTAAGAATCGAGACCAGACCAAAGCATGTTGTTCTTCCCTTCAGGCTCCAACCAATTGGCAGCTGGCCACAAAAAAAGAGAAAGAGGACAGTTGCCAGCTTTTTGCACCTAAGAAAATCTCAACGGCACAAGGTCGGTGGCTTTGCACGAGCTTGAAGTGAAGCCGCTCAAGCAGCCGGCTTTCCATGGACCCATGGCCCCATGGACCTGCGGAGAAAACCCGGCCGCTGGCGCGCCAGGCCCCGAGCCGTGGAAACGGATCCAGAGGTGTACATGAGATGACCCCCGAACACCGCGAGAAACCGCGAGACAACTTGTGGTATGTCAACCGCGCAATGGGAAAAAAAGTTACCCATGGCCCATGGTCGTTTTTGCGAGGTTCTCCAGAGTTGAGAGGTTGGAAGAAGGGTCCCCGAGACTTTTGTCTGGTTTGTCTATTTTAGTAGGGAAACCCGGAACCCTCCCGAAAAAAGGGTACTAAGTACTGGGGGACCAAAAGGGAAGAACTGGCTTCCGCCTCTTCGGCGCTTGCAGTTGACACATGGCCGGTCCTGCGGAAGTCGCCGGTCCCGGGCATCGACAACTGGCGCAAGACGCTCGAAACCAGAAATCGGATTCGAACGGCAAACGTCTTCTCCGTATGGCTGTGGCTCAAAAAACCGGTACCCAAATGGAACCCTGGTAAGTGGAAACATGGACCAAAACCTGCGTAACCCCTCCTGCTTAATTTTGAGCCACACCCATATACTACTGTTATATTCAAAAGCTACCACAAACCAAAGAAGAATCGAACCTGCAGCCATAAAAACAGGGAAGTAAGTACGCGAAAATACGGTACCAAACAGAGAGACAAAGTCTTCTCAGTTGCCCCCGAAATAGCCAGTGTGCGCACCGACCTGATTTTGCAGGGCTATGAAAAAAACCACCGCTGGGGAGGTCCCACTCTCGAAACAAAGGTACCACTGCAAGATTGAAGCGAACCAATTCCTCTAAAGTTGGAGAAGTTGGCATTGGACACTTTCCCGGGCTGGAAAGAAGTAACCCGCAAGCAGGAGGGGTGGGTTCCGCTGGCAAGCACGTGGTATCCACAATTTTGGGACGAGTGTCGTGTTTACAATTTTGATTGTTATCACTATGTTCATTTCTTTGTGTCTTCCTGATGTTTCTCCTTGTGTTTACTATCATTCACGGAGAAATGATGTTAGATGTTCTCTTGTGTTTCACTTTATTTTTGTCTTCCGGTGTTTTCCTGATGTTACTATTATTCACCAACAGAAATCGTGCTCCCGAGCGGTGAACTTCCTTGTCGTCAAGATCTCGCAAGGCTTCAGCCCAGAGAACCCTTATCGCTTGCGGAATGCGAACTCCCATCATACCTTGACACCCCTCTTATACTCATGAGACGTATGTAGGGCAGAATCCCGGCCATACCTCATAGCTGCGCGTCATACCCTTGGTTGACATTGAAAGGGGAGCAACAATTTTCAAATTTTAGCAGCCAAGTGGGGACTTCAACCACTCAACCACAATAAGCAAAAATGTAAAATGTTTCCCAACAACAACCATGTACCGCCCTTGACACCCCTCTTATACTCATGAGACGTATGTAGGGCAGAATCCCGGCCATACCTCATGCGAAAACCGGGGCAAGTTCCCTTCTATCCGGGGAAACATATCCTGCGTACTGCTTAATGTTGAACATGAGGGGGGGTAGCACTGTTTCCCAACCAAACACTGCTGGCATGTAAAGACTTGGGGACCCCCCTTTTGAATTGGCCGTTGAATAGCAAGAATTGATCCCAGCGAAACTAGGTCCTCCAGTCGAGATTTTAGAATAAGAGTACCAACTTGTTTTTTTCTGTAGTCTCTTTTAGTAGGGTCCCGCACCCTCCCCCAAAAAAGAAACGGTAAAAGGGCACAAATCTGGGGGACCTAGGACACGGAAGGACCCCGAAACATCCAGGGAGTGAGTCAACCTGAGCACCCGGCAGGATCTGGCAGTAGCCAGGGATTGATCGGCATGCCCAAGGCAGGCATCGACATATTGGGCATATTGCCTCAGATGCCCAGTGGACTTCCATCAAAAGGGGCATCCGAGTTGTTTTTGCCTGGTCGAGTTTAAACTAGCTCCTCCAGATTTGAGAGGTTGGAATAAGGGTATCCTTTTTTCTGTAGTCTATTTTAGTAGGGGAACCCTCCCCCCAAAAAGAATTGGTAAAAGTGCACTACTGGGGGACCTAGTAAAGGAATCGGAACCTTTCCCCCAACAAAAGATCCGGGATCAAGGGCTCCAGTAGGCAACACATATCGCTCACACCAGCAACTCAGCTTCTTTCTTCCGCTTTATGTCAGGGTTGTGGTTGATCACTCGGGGTTTCTCCAACCACTTCTGTGATACAAGTTGGGAATCCCCTCTTTATATGGGGGGGGTTGGTCGTTGGGTCTTTAGGCCCTTTTTGTATCACAGATTCGTGGGAGGCCCATTTCAACCACAGCCCTGCTTCTGGTTCGCTTTCATTGGGCCCGGTGAATCGCAAATTTTTGGGGTTTCGGGGCCCGGACCACGCGCGGAGTCTCTGGGCGTGTCCCCCGTTTTCCTCGGATCCCTGGCGAAACGTAGCCAACATCCGGGTTCAATGGAAACCCAACCACGAGCTAAGAACCAAAACCTGGCAGGATCCAGCTCATTCCCTGATTGAAGGAAACCCGCCATTGAACTGACTATGCCATTGGAAACCGCCTTTGACACAGGGGAACCATTGATATGGGCGTGTCCTTTTTTGGGAGACTCTCCCCAAAACTTTGGTGTTCCCTTTGATCTCCCTTCAGCACCACAAAAGAGACAAACCTGCCCTTCAACAGGCAGCACCTTCATGGCAGTTCCGTCAAGATGCGAGCCTTCAACTGCGAACCAAGTCAAAGGTCAATGGCAGTTTCAGGTATTGGCTCGGGAGGCTTCCACTTAAGGGGTATATCTTGGTTGACGTTGGAAGGGGAGCAACAACAAAAATGGCAGTGAAGTGGTTGGAGTTCAACAACTAAACCACAAGAAGCAAAATCAAAACTGTCTCCCAACAACAACCATGATATACTGCCTTAGCAGCTAAACAAATGCATGTGACATATAAGCTGCCACATCTCCAAAACCCATACCGCCCTTACCCCGGCCATTTGCTTGAGACGCCTGCCAAAAAAATGGAGAATAATTCCAGTAGTGATAGGTGTCCTTCAAAATCAACAGGGGAAAACAACGCTCTTTTCTCACTCTTTTCATTGTCCGCATGACAGAGCCTGTCTGTGCAGGCGTTGCCAAACGGGAAAGCCCCAACATCCTAGAGCGGAAAACCAATGACATCGTCTGAAGCAAATGGACACACCTGAACATGCCCACTGAGGTCTCAGCCCAGCTCGGAGCCGCGCGCCATCTCTTGCGTGGCAGCCACGCTGGCCATCCTGAGGCTCACTCGTCGAGTCGATGAGTCGCCTTTTGGCTGCGGTCTACGAGCAACCTACCGGTACATCCAGAGTTGGCACGGAGCAATGCGACTCTCTTGACTCCTCAAAGAAAAGAGGTGGATGTCAAAGATGGATGTTTAAACAATGGTCCAAAATTGATTGGCTACATATTTCCATGTTTTTTTCCTACCCAATGACTCGGTTGTTGTCTTCCCTTTGGGCTAAACACAGAGCTGGCCAATCCGAGTCTCCATTCGAAAACCACAAAGGGGACCAAATCCCTTCGGAACCGAAAAAGTACTTGGATGTTCGATTCGCCAAGTTAGGTGGTGATCGCCAAGTTAGTGGGGGTTTTGCAGCCCCTAAAAAGGTGAACCCCACTTCATGGAACTAAGTTGGTTAGAACCTAGGCTAGTTCACGGAGTTCACCTTGCTGGGGAGTGACTCAAGCGGCGATCGCCAACTTGGCGAATCGAACAGCCAAGTAACCTTCAGATGTCCCTTCGGCTAGGTCCTCCAGTAGAAAGGTTAGAGTAAAGGGTACCAACTTTTCTCTATAGCCTATTTTAGGGGAACCCTCCCCCCAAAAAGAAACGGTAAAAGGGCGCCACTCGGGGACCTAGGCTTTGGATTGGTGGCTCGAATTGGGAGTGGAACCCCTGGGTCTTGTAGGGCTCCAAACCACCAGTTCGTGGGACTGGTTGAAACAGCCCATTCTTCGGAACCCACGAAACCGGTCGGTGAGTCCGGAGCACCTTCTGGAACCCGCTGTCTTTTAGTCTAAAACCTGGGGTGCAATAGAATTGGCTATATATGTGAATATATAAATATATACCTATGTATGTGATTTGTTGTTTATGTTAGTGTATATATATATATATGTATCTCTCTATTGTATGTGAACTTAGCTGTATATATATATATACGTGAGTTTATTATTTGTATATGTGAATGTATTACATATGTGAATGTACTATATATGAGTTTATCACACATGTTAATTTATATATGTGCATATCTATACTATACATGCATATACATGTATATATATATACACTAAATACATATATATATATATATGTACAGAGCGCAGCTCAGGCACTCCGCCGCCCTCTAAACCGAGGCCGTGTGGCTGGGAGTACTGCTGCGCCATGGCCTGCAGGTTGGCGGCGTACTGCGCCAGGATCTGACTGCTGGAGCCTCCGAAACACGCCGAACCGCCCTCCGCCGACCGAATCGCCGAAACCGATTTGGATGCCCCGGGAGCGAGCCGCGGGAGCCACCGGCCGAAACCGAACTTGGCGAAAGAGCAAACCTCCTGACTTGTGCTCCCCCTCCCCCAAAAAAAATGGGGCCTTCTCTTCTTTCTCCCTCCCCTCAAAAAATGGCTGCATCGAACAAGAAACAGAGCAAACTTTGCTTTTGGGGCCTTCTTTCCCCCTCTCAATAAATCGCGTCGAACAGACCCTGTGCGCTATCGCAAAGGCCAAAAGGCAAACCTCCCACTGTTCGCCCCTTTTACCTCGTCAGTGAGCTTATTTCTACAAGATCGGATCCGTTCAAAGCGAAACCAGAAGGAAACCATGCGGGGGGGGGGTCCACATCCCTGAATGGCGCATCTTTTTTTGGCCCCTCCCAAAATGGTGGGCTACTGGCTGTGTCCAAGCACCTATTGGTCAAATACATATGTCTTTTAGGGCCTCACTTCCATTTTGGGGAAGTGGAATACTCACTTCCGATCGCGTGGATTCGATTCCCCAAAAAAGTAACCAAACAGTTGATTTACCACTAGAATGGCGTCCCAAACCCAAAAAGTGAAGAAAGCCCATGAACTCAGGAAGTGAGTAAAAAAGGAGGAACCCACATGATGGCCGGTTGTCGTTTTCAAAGACGACTTTGGATGGACATGTTAGAACCAGTTGGAACGGATGAAGCCCTATTACAACTGGGTAAACCTATACCAACTTGTGCAGGATATCGTCCATGCACAGCATGTCTACCAGGTTTCATGGGTTCCCTACAAGTTAGAAGTAGCGCAGTCTGCCAATCCCATGTCACTCTCCTAGGTCGCCTTCACGATGAACAAAGAGTGTGCAAAACGGGAGTCAAGGAGCCCCAGGGGGTTTGATCAATACTCCCGGCCACCAAATCACCACGGGCAACTTGCCGCATTTCGTGGGACACATCCCATGCTTTCCGCGGCTTTCCAACCAATGGTCATCCGATGCAAAGGATGTTTTGATCCACCCCCAAACCGCACAAGGGGTACCCACTCTATGTGTCTCTTCAAGGCTACCCTTCGATTGTTCTCGGGAAACTCTCTCATTTCGAGACAAACCGAAATCGAGCCCTGGTTGATTGGAGGGTTGGGTTAGAGGAAAAAGCTGCCTCGGGAATTTCTGCAACCGATTTCCTTGATGCTCGCAAGGGAAGTAAGGCAGGAGGATCCCTTCGATGTGGTCTGAAACCACATAAGAAACCGAGAAACTGAACTGTGGAAAAGTCAAAGTCTGAACAACAATCGGCTTTGCTCGAATCGGCGGTTTCGTGGTTAAGGAGTGGTTTCCCATGTACTCTCTACAAGAACCAGGAGTTCAAATCCAAAACCAAACCACTTAAGGGCTACCTGAATACAAGAGTCCATGTTGAGGTTCGAAGAAACATCTGCCAAAGGGAAACTACAGGGAGCCCTGGTGACCATGCCACTTAGCATGATAATTCCATTCTCCAAGGCCACGTGGACCCGGAACAAATCTACTCGGATGCCCAGTGGATTTCCATGGGAAAAGAAAGCACATCCTTTTTTGGTTGAGTTTAAAGGAATCGGACCCCTTCCCCAAAAAACAGAGAACAAAGGGGGGCGGAATCTTCTTGGTTGCTTGAGTTCCAAGGAATCGGACAATCTTTCCCAACAAAAAAAATGAGAAAAAAACAAAAGGGGCGGGAGCCACTGGGCACCTGACCCCGACCCCAGCGCCGACGACCCCGACAGCGGAACCGCACCGACTGCGCCTGCCGGAGGCATGGGCGGTGCGGCAAAGGGCATCATGGGCTGATAGGGCCCCGCACCTCGCCGATCGCCGTGCTCGCCGTCCGTTCGTCCCCCCCCCAAATGCCCCAAATGCCCCCAAAACTAGGAGAAGCACCCCCTAAAACTGGCGAATGCCTTAGTGTCAAGCAAAAGGCGAGCCATACAGCCATCAAACAAAGCAGTACAGTATCTTATGGTGATCGCTGACCTTGTTGAAAAATAGATGGCCCTGGCAGATGGAATGAAACCCATCTATACCAGTGGAAATCCATTTCTAACCAAACTATCCCAACAGGACACCTATCAGAGTGATCCTCAAGTCAAGGGCGGCCTTTACAATTGACCGGTCTTTGGCTATGGAAGGTCCCACTTGAATGGACCCATTCCGAATGATCCACCCATCAATTAAGGTCTGTCCCATCAGGGGCTGATGCAAGTTTGGGCCCCACTCCATCTTGAGAGATCCTAACCTTCATTGTCTCAGAGCCTGTACCAGTAACTCTTGCAAGCCTGCATCCGAAGCCTTCAACTACCATTCTAACTTGTCAAATGTTTTCTTTACATCTTAGTCACCTTTGCTCCATTTGAGAGCCCTGGTGAGACTCAACAAAAACCAAAAACTCCGTCCTTGGGGTTCCTGAAGGAAGGCGGATATCGCCTGGATGGGCTGTACCCTGCCCTTTTTAGACACAATCAAAGCCTGGGTGTTAAGTAAGTCTTCCCCCAAAACACGGCAATGAACCAGTGGATTCTTGCGGCTGCAGTTGCTGCAGCTGGCACTTCTTTCACCTGTGTAGACGAAGACCCGGGCTACACCCAAACTAGCTTCGCACGGGGTCCGGGACCCTTTGCGCTGAGTGGCCATTCGGCTCGTTCTTGTCCTGGTAGGCTGGCCAATTGTCCCTGACAGATCGAGCTCGGCGCTCAAGAAAGACGATTGCAGAGCCATGCGTGTGGCAAACGTTGCCACGGTGCCCCAACATACACCCCAAAAGACTCCAGTAAAAAGTTTCCGCCTTAAGGCAAGTTGAGAACAAATAAGACCACAACTTGTTTTCTTGCTCATGTCCCCGAAAACAAGTCAGGGCCTCCTGACTCCTTTGGTTCTACACAAGGAGGCAGCTAGGTCCTCCAGAACAGAGGTTAGAATAAGGCTACCCTTTTTCCTGTAGTCTATTTAGGGGAACCCGCACACTACTGGGGGACCTAGGCAGCGTGGAGAAAGTCGGTCCAGAACTGCCAAGGCGGAAACTTGAAACAAATGTGAGGGATGGTCATCCATTTACTCTCCTTCGTTGGGTCAGTGGTCAGCGATTTCCCCAGAGCGGACTTCCGTCTTTCTTCTTCGCATGTGCGCAATAGAACCAGCACATAGCATTTGCTTCGGCAAATGTGTCCAGTAAAGTGGCATTCTCCCATGGCCCTGAAACTGAAAGCGAAGAAAGCTCCGCCTAACAACCATAGGTGTCCTTTTAGGAAATAGATGGCCCTGGTAGATGATTAAACCACCAGGTAAACCAGGGTCATCTATTTTTCTAGCAAAACAACCAAACATATTGCCTATGCCAACAACCGTTTTGCGAACCAAGAAAAAATATGTTCCGCAATGAACCCGGCTTCCACTCAAAAAAACTCCTTGACTGAGCCTCTCTGGATCTTTGTTCTATGTACGTGTTAAGCGTCGAGTCACCAAATATTGAACCAGAATTAAACAAAATACTTCTGGTTGGCTCGTTCAGCTTGCTTTTGTGACTTGCCGTGCCCTCGAATCTTCCTATATACAACCTTTGGCACCTCAACATCACGAAGGCAAACAAGGGAAAGCGCAAATGGTAGGCCAGAAACTTACAACTCAAGCCTCAGGCAGTGTATATCTAGAAGTTGATGCCTTCTTGTTGATGTGGCCCTTCAGAGAGGAAAACAAAGGACGAAAAAAAGAAGAAGCAAAAACGGGGCTCCCGTTTTTTCATGGCTTCCTTTATCCATGTTGACAACCTACATAGGCGTGTCCGCCCATTGTCTGATGCCATCATTTGGGGGGGATTCATACGCTTCGACCCCAAACTTGACATGGAACCCGAAAAGTCTCTTTGGAAGGAACATGTTGAGTCCATGTATATAATGTTGACCCCGGATTAATAAACCCCTGTTTATTGGTATGGGGGTGTCCGCGGTTTTAGTGGGGGATTTATCACTTTTGGAGAGGAACACCCCCATATTACTAAACAGGTCCGGGGTCAACATTGATCAGGAATCTCTTTTTGGCGGGACCCCCTTAATTTGGGCTTACATGTTCATTGGCCGGTGAGTAGGCATCTCTCCCTTCGTTCCAGTCAACCAGTCAACTGCAGGCGGGCGGCTCTGTCTTTACCGAGCCGAAGGAGGTGGTGTCCTGTACGCCGAGCTTTGTGCGCGGTTCGGGGGTAGCGTGTTTTTAGGTTGGCTTAAAGGGAAACCAAAGCTTGGTTGACGTTGAGTTTGGGGAGCAACAATTTTCGAATTTTAGCAGACAAGTGGATTTGGATTTCAGCCACTAAACCACAAAAAGGAAACATGCAAGATGTGTCCCAACAACAACCATGAAAGGGCTGTTTTCGGGGGGTCCGTGTTTTTAGGTTGGCTTAAAAGGAAACCAACGGACACACCATCTGTTTTGGAGGGTTCCCCTTTTTGACACATGGTTGTCATGATGGTCATGGTCCCCATAGTGCCCTTCAAATGTGAGTCATGGCAAGGCAAGCACCTTTCATCACGAAACACAACTGTGCCTCTTTTCTAGGTTGCTCGGGATTCTGCCCGTGCTTGCACGGGGCCCACCCCTTCTCCCTCGTCCCCAAACCAGACCGAGAGGCCATGTGCAAAGCCCGTCTAACCCTCCATGAAAGTGGAGATTTACAATTCACCCAAGTCCAAGGGGCTCCCAGGTCAACATCCAAGTCCAATGTGCGTTTGGGGAAAAACTCTTTACTGGTAAAATATGACTAGAACCACAACAAATGTGCCACGTGCTCTCTTGCTTGCTCACTTGCCCGTCAGAATTACTCAACGGGAGCCCAAAGACGCAAATTCACCTTCCGAGTGCAACCGTGGGGCCCTTATGCATGGGGCCGAAATAATAAGACTGAGGTTGGAGGCTTTAAAGCCAAACTGAGTCATGATTGGATTGAACATAACGTGTAAGCATTCAGTCCCGTATGTTCTTGCTGAGTGGGACGTCCCCAGCGGTGGTGTTTTTCCTAGCCCTGCAAAATCAGGTCGGTGCGCACACAAAATGTTCTTTCTGGCTATTTCGGGGGCAACTGAGAAGACTTTGTCTCTCTGTTTGGTACCGTATTTTCGCGTACTTGCTTCCCTGTTTTTATGGCTGCGGGTTCGATTCTTCTTTGGTTTGTGGTAGCTTTTTAATATAACAGTAGTATATGGGTGTGGCTCAAAACTAAAGAGCTAGGGTTACGCAGGTTTTGGTCCATGTTTCCACTTACCAGGGTGCCATTTTGGTACCGGTTTTTTGAGCCACAGCCATATTTTGCCATAGGATTTGAGGCTGGGCTGCTGCGCTTCAGCCGTGTCATCTTCTTTTTGTTTTTGTTTTTCTACGGTCGGTGACGGTGCATGCCAATTGTTGCTCCTATGATTCACAGGACAGGCCGGCACAAGGATTTGTGGCATATCATGTCTCCCCTTAGGTGCCCTTTTAGATAAATAGATGGAACAGAACCACACACTGAGGTGCCATGAATTTGTTCACCCAATATGCCCCAGTGGTATCTACACCTGTCCTTTTGACCCCAAAGTTGCTGACGCCAAAAGCGAAAAACCTATCGTTCAAAGACCCGAAAGGTGGAAACAACATTTGGAACTTGCTCTTTTGGCCAGGACCCATTGGCAAGAGGCACGCCCACCAAAATACACTCCTTCCAACAATCATGGAAGTGGGCAGGAGGGTGTTGGACGATGACTCGATCGTCTTAAAAAAGACCCCTTGTCCACTTCCATGATTGGAGTGGTAACTGAAGATGTAGACAGGAGAGCGATGTGACATGCATGAGAGACGAAGATGGTTCTCTCACTCACTTCCATTTGTCCACCTCATGTAATTCCTTCATTTCTATCTTCTCAGCTAGTGAGAGGAAAGGAAGGACGGGTGAGTGGTGGTCATTTCCTTCTGCACATTGCCGTGGTAACCTTCCCTTGGTCCTCCAGTACAGAGGTTGGAATAAGGGTACCTTTTTGGCTCGTGGCGCATCCTCGGTCGGCTGCGCTGGTGAGTGGGGCGTACCGCCCCACCACCGGTAAAAGAGCCCGGTCGGGCTGTGACACGGAGAGCAGGCTCCCCACATGCAGCACCACGCAAGGGCCGAGCCCGCTGCACAACTGCTGAAAGGGCACCGCCCCAGCAGGGGCGGAGCCTGAAGAAGACTCCATGCTGGGCCCCGTGTGAGGGGACCCACCCCCCACACGGGGACCCAGGTCGCCGCCACACGCCACATAGGCACCCACCACATGCCGGAGCACCAAGTGAGGGGGCAGGCCCCCCACTTGGTGCAACCGGGAAGCATCTCTCCAGCGAAGGCCGACCCCACTGCTGAAGAGCCAGCAGGGCCGTGGCATCCACCAGGGAGGACCGCCAGGCCCCCCCCACCGCACCCCTCATAGAGCCAGAAGGCGTACCTCCGGAGGCCGGGAAGGCCGCCAGTAAAGCTGCAACCCCCCACAGAGAAAAAGGGTCCCATGCATAGCCAATGCCACTGCCAAGGCCGCAGAGGCCAAACATCCACCTGCCGGCGAGCACTGCGAGGCACCAAGCCACCCATTACAGCGACGCCAGGGCAGGCCGCTAGGCCAAGGCCCCCAGTGAAAAGGCCCAGTCCTTGGGGACGCGGCCACGGCGCCAAGCCCGAGCAAGGGCCCGGGCAGTGAAGTCAAGCCCTTCCTGCGAGCAGACCAGCCGGGCACCAGCAAAGGCCCCGCGAGGCCATGTGACCCCAGTGAAGCGGCCCAACCTGGGCCTCCAGTCTCGAGGGAAGGCCGCGTGATGCACCGCCGAGCTGCCTGAAAATGCTCCAGCAACTCGCGCACCGTAGCCGCATGCCCCAGGCGAAAAGGCAGCAGGCGCGGAAAACGGCGCCAGGCGACGAGGGCGACCTCCAAACCAGGCTGCATCTGCTCGGGCAGGACCTCCCACTGAGCGTGGGCCAAAAAGCAGCTCCACGCATCCCATGAAGCATCACCACCCCTCCAGTCCCGAGGTCTGGACCGAGGTGGCCGCGTGAAAACCAGCTCCGCAGGGCCATGGCGCAGGGCCGGAAGGGCCGCAGGAGGGGGCACCCCAGGGAGGGGGGAGGGCTGGGCGTCAACCTCAGCAGGGACCGCAACAGCAACACGCGTACGGGGCAAGGCAGCAAGCAACCGCTGGAGCCAAAGGTGCCGCCGATAGGCCGCATAGAACAAGGCGTGCAGCCGAGAACCATCGACCCGAAGAGCGGCGCGGGCAGCATGCTTGGCTGCCACATCAGCGGCATGGTTACAAACCGCATGCATAGCGCCAACCGGGCATGTAAGGGCCTCGACAGCCACATGCCCGCGGATCCAGTGCAAGGAAAGGCTGAACCCGTGAGGGGCACGAGCCGCACGAATCTCCCAGACAGGCTGCCAGATATCAGCCGCCGCGACATGGGTAGGCACCCGGTTGAGAGAACAAAAGGAAGCCCAGGCAGAGACGGCCGACTGAGAGTCGGTATGGACCGTGAGGGGCCCACGGACCAGCTGGGCAGCCCTGCGAATGGCGTAAACCTCCGCCCTGTAGTTGTCGGCAAAGACGCCCGGCACAGGGCCCGAGTCAACAGTGACCCGAGAGGAAGAGACCACCGCATAGCCCGCAGCGGCAAAGAAGGGATGCTGGGGAAGGAACACACTCCCATCCGTCCAGAGATGGACCGAGGCGCCCACAGGGAACACCGGACCAGGACAAACGGCAGGCCACTCGACCAGGGCACAACACGCAGCGACGAGGTCCGGTGGGATCTCCGGGAGCGCATGAGAGTAGAATGCAGGGCCCTGAAACTCCCGCTGACGAGGGGGAGGGCCAACCTCAGCCGGCAGGGCAGGGCACTCCACCAAGTGGCCAATGGTCTCAACGTGAGCCTCACAGTACCGGCACAGAGGGCTAGCGGCAAGGCCAGAAGAGAACAGCCGATTGGCGGTAACGGCAGAACCAACAACCACCGCAAAAACAACGGCCGGATCGGAAGGAAAGGCACGGGCAAAAGCAGTCCAGCTTGGGGCAGCAGGGACTGCCCAGGGAGCCCGGGCAAAGGACACATCAAGGAGGCCAGAGGGACCCACACAAATGTCACCGCGCTTGGCCCCACAGGCACGCTGGTAGGCATGCTGGGCAATGGACCACTGAAGAAGCCTGCGCAGGGAACGGACGGACACCGAGAAGAGAGAGATCCAAGGCCCGGAATGGAACGCCACACTGGCCGGTGCCTGGAAGCGAAGGCCACAGGAGGTAACCGACGCAACAAAGCTGGCAACCAGAGTAGAGGGCAGCACCCGCGGATTGGTGAAGGCAATCCGCCACTTGATGGCAAACACTTCAGACCGCTGCAAGTGCGAGACCACGTTGAGCACCGCCCGGTAGGCCAGGGCGTACTCGGGGTGGACGAGGTGCCCCCTGTGCACGACAGCAAGGAGCAGCTCGCGCGACCTCCAGGAGGGACGGCCATCCCACAGAACCGTGGCCACCTCAGTAGCAAGCGCAGCAAGCTGCTGCTTAGGGATAGTGTTGAGCTCAGCGGCATAAGTGAGCATGGGCATGGCTTTGCGGGCCACAAACGTAGCCTTAGCGGAGGGACCAAGAGGAAGGGCCCGAATGGCCCGCAAGGCTCTCCTGAAGCGAGCAATGGCAGGAGCACGGGAATTCCTGGTGCCCCTGAGGTCAAGGTTAATGCATACCCCAAGAGGCCGGAGCGCCCAGAGGCGAGGGGCATCGGGAAGGGCGTCCTGGAGCTCACCAGCAAACTGCTGGCCAGCAAGCGCATCAAAGAGCGAGGTGGCGCGGACCGCCTGAACAAGGGTGTCGATAGCCTGAGGGGCACTGACCGTCAAGTACCCATCATCGATGTAGACACGCGGATCAACGCCAGGGAAGTGACGAATCAGCAGGATCCAAGCGGACATGAGCACATTGACCGCGAGGACCGACATGGAGTCACCCTGGGCCAGGCCATTGCTGTTGGCCAGCGAGTGAGGGTGGACGGCCCCCCGCCAAGAGAGGAAGCGCTGAAAGGACCGATAGTTGCTGTGCCAAGCACGAGTAACGCCCTCAGGAAAACCAAGAGCAACAAGGATCGCAGCAATCTGACCGGGGAGCAACCGGTCGAAGCATTT